GGTGGGGTGGGATGGGGGATGGAGGGTGGGAGGGGTATTGGGAGCATTTGAGGTGGAGAATGGCACTGGTGGAGAGATGGGAACTCAATCATGGTATAACCGAAACCCAAGCACAAAAATTTGTACGTCTACAACTGTACCTCATGGTGTTTCACTAATAAAAATTTAAAAAGAAAGAAAGAAAGAAAGAAAGAAAATACCCCTAGAGCTGGAGAAATATTACAGAGGGTAGGGCACTTGCTTGTATGCTGGGTTCAATTCCTAATACCCAATATGGTCCCCAGGGCCTTATCAGGAGTGATCACTGAACACAGAACCAGGAGTAATCCCTGATAACTGATTGTGTGGCCACAAAACAAAACAAAACAAAATACCCATAATTGCACAGCAAAAGACTGGGTTCAGAAAAGACCAAGACCTCAAATGTACACTTTAGTTAGACTCTTGCAGGGAGACAGTTCAACAACCGGCACTAAAAACAAATGAAGACATCAAATTTCAGGGGTGGATGAAGAATCTCAAATTCAGAGTTACTACATTGTTAGACTCAAATAGCCAGTTTCACCAACAAATCATAAAGCGCATAAATAAACATCATGGGAGGTCCAAAAGAGAAAAAGCACTATGCAAAAACTGTCCCCAGAAGACCAGGTGGTAGAGCTACTAAGTGTTCTAAAGACAGTGGAGGTACAGCATTGTTTACAATAGACAAAATCTGGAAAAAACCCAAGTGTCTGAGAACAGAAGACTGGTTAAAGAAACTTTGATACATCTACACAATGGAATACTATGCAGCTGTTAGAAAAGATAAAGTCATGAAATTTTCATATAGGTAGATCAACATGGACAATATTATATTAAGTGAAATGAGTCAGAAAGAGAGAGACAGACATAGAAAGATTGCACTCATTTGTGGAATATAAAGTAACAGAGTGGGAGACTAACACCCAAAAATAGTAGAGATAAGTACCAGAAGGATCACTCCACAGCTTAGAAGCCGGCCTCACATGCTGGGGGGAAAAAGCAGCTCAGAAAGAGAAGGGACCACCAAGTAATAGGTGCTAAGAGGACCCGCTGAGGATGGGAGATGTGGGCTGAAAGTGGACTGTAGACCAAACATGATGGCCACTTAATACATCTATTGCTAACCACAACACCCAAAAGAGAGAAAGAGCACAAGGGAATGCTCTGCCACAGAGGCGGGGTAGGGTGGAGGGATGCTGGGACCACTGGTGGTGGGAAATGGGCACTGGTGGAGGGATGGGTACTTGATCATTGTGTGACTGAAAGGCAAGCATGAAAGTTTGTAAGCCTATAACTGTACCTCACGGTGATTCACTAATAAAAAAAAAAAGAGAGAGAGAGTCACTGGTGAAGGTTTGAAGACAGAGAAGAAATTGGGAAAAGAAAATGGAAAGATAAATAACATAGGAAAATAACTTTTTGTTTGTTTTTGTATGGAAAATTATGTATACAAAATGTATATGTGTAAATTAAATGGGGCTGTATTGTCTAATGAACATAGTATTTCAGTTTTGTAAGACAAAACCTTCTGGTCATGTCCATACAGACATGTAAAAGAGTGTACTGAATTCCACTGATCTCAATTCGCTTAAACGGGCAAAGGTGATACATTTTATTCGTTTATTTACTTATGCCAGGGAATCATGCCAGGCCAGTGCTTGATTGCTTAACTACCTCCTCATCCATTGGCAAATTTTGTTAGGTGTATGTTACAAAAATTTCTAAAAATTTAAGGAAATAACAAATGAAAACTCAGCTTCTCAGAGCGATCCCATTTTCTAAGACAACCCTATCTAACTAACCCATCCATCAATTCACCCTGAAATCTCAAATGACCGTTTCCTGTGTTTGGCCCAACAATGGACATCGTCCTTTAAGAAGCATTTTGTAGACTCTAATTAGCTTTCCAGAAGTGTGGAAAGTGATGAGAAGAACAGTGTCATCAAATGCTACTCTAAACCAAACCAGAGGCTGCCGACCAAGACAGCAAGGTTGAGTGTGACTTTGAGATCCCAGTGCCTGGAACCTTCTCTTGGACTCGCTTGCCCCTGCACATCACAGCAGCCGAGGTGCCGGTTTTGTCAGGGACACTCTTTCTAGACTGGCCACAATGACAAAGCGTCCAAATGATTGGGGTTCCTTAATCACACTGCCATGGGGCCTGTAGGTCTAATTAAACTGAGAAACACCTTTAATTATTGTGGCCTGATAGAGTCCACGGGTGACTCAGGGGTATGATCACTGCCATAAACTAAATTTACTCTCCTTCATACTTCATCTTTAAGATGCTTATCACATGTTCTTCAAATTTAGCTTTGGGGTCCCCCCCCCTTACCAAATTCTACAGACGGTGAGATCAGTGAGATCAATGATACTGAAATATTCAAAATGGAAAATTACATATGGTAATATTTCATTGACTTGGCTTTTTGTGTGGCAAACATAAAATAGACCTCTGTTTTATGCAGTACTCAAAAATGAAATTTAATCTGAAAACTCTGAAGTTAGGTCTAAATTAGTCAACAACCCTGATTTTTCCTGGTGGAGAGATGGTGCACTTGGAGGCTAATACAGCACCTGGTACACACCAGGTGCTTTATTACTCTACAGATAACTCTGAAGTTATTTTTTCCCACTATTTAAAAGATCCTACTAAAGATAGCGTGATTATAAAATTTACCAAAAAGTGGCGTAGGAGAGAAAAAAAAATAGAAGATGATTCCATAGAGCTTTAAGGGAATTTGTGGATGAACTTTTATATATATATGCATTGTGCTGTAGGAAAAAAGCCCATAACTTTCATTTGATTTACAAATAATCTGTGATAACCCTTTCACAGCCAACAATCAAAGACAGAGAGCCAGAGTGATGATACAGGGGGTAGGGTGCTTGCCTTGCATTGGGTTTGATCCCTAGCACTCTATTTTGTCTTCCAAGCCCCACAGGAAAGATCCTTGAGCACAGAGCTAAGAGCAGATCCTGAGCACCTCCAGGTGTGACCTCAAAGATTAAAAAAAGGGCTAGGAACTCATGTGTTGAGTCATCTGTCCAACATCATAGGCACAGATCATTATGCTGTTAAGCACTTGAAATGTGGCAAGAATGAATTGAATGGGAATATAAAACATACATGAAAAATAAAATGCAAAAGGTCTCAGCCATTATATGTTGGAAGAATATTTGGGATATAGTTAAGTAAAATATATTGCTGGCAATACTGTCACTTGCTTCCTTTAGCTTTTGCTGATGTGAAAATTCCACTAAAAAATGAAAATTCCATACATGGCTCACACTATGTTTCTACTGCAACATGTTGATCTGTGATCACGGTATGTTGCTGATTCTAGAACAATGATTTTTATCATAACCCCCAAATCAATTCCTCCAGAGATTTTTGGCAGGACAGAGCTAAAAGCAGAGTTTTAAACCATCTTCATCTAATTATTACAGCATAACTTCCTTTTTTCGACCCGAGTTCGATTCCTCCGCCCCTCTCGGAGAGCCTGGCAAGCTACCGAGAGTATCTCACCCGCACGGCAGAGCCTGGCAAGCTACCAGTGATGTATTCGATATGCCAAACACAGTAACAACAAAGTCTCCAATGGAGATGTTACTGGGCCCGCTCGAACAAATCGATGAACAACGGGAGGGCCTTTTAACTTCCTTTAGAGAGTCATGAGTTTGGAATAAGTCTAAGGTCAACTCTGCACCACTGAGAACATCTAGAGGTGATTCATGGGATCTTTCTTGATAAGAGCCTTGGATCAATAATGACTCAAAGCAAACTTTTGCTTATACCACATCAATAGCTCTATTTCAAAAAGTGTAGAAAAGGCAAACATTCACAGCAAAATATTTCCAGGAAAACTGGAATTCCTAATCACACTCTAGACTCTAATTCAATTTCGCCAAACTTTATGGGGTTCCTTTTTTTTTTATTTCTGCCTGTTTCTCACATATAAAAGCAGAGTTCAAGGGTTGGCTGATTGCCTTTGCAGAACAAAGGGGGTTGGAGAGATATCACTAATTCCGTTGCCTTGAGCACAGCGAAACAGGTTCCATTCTTGGTGACACATCATAGGGTCCCCAGAACCCCGACAGAAGTGATAGTTACCTAGAGCACAGAGTTGGGGGTAAGCCCTGAGCAACGCCAATGTGACCCCCAAACAAAAAAATGCAAACAACTCTGACTTCTCCATGGTGCTCCTGGAAGCTAGTCCTGTGCCTGGTACACACACAGAAGGTGCTAGTAAATGGTCATTGATGAATGACAGTTTATTGATTCCAACACAAGATTTCTCTCTATAGAGAACCTGATTTGGACACCCTGGCTTTCCCCCAGTAATGCCCAGGGAAAGAGGTGCACTTAACAAAACTTTTTAATTTGCACCACCCAGTGCACTTGTAGGTATTTCGGGGACAGCAATCGGATGTTGGTCAAACCATGCTTCCTGGTTGCAAAGTACCACAGGTGCCAGCTTGCCTGGGCGTCCAGTCCAATTCGCTGGACGAACATCCAGGGAGCTAAAACAGGTCACCTTGGTCTTCCAAGGAACAGAATACGGGGCATCTCTCCGCCTTGTCTCGAGGGACCGGGACTCAGCTGCTCTCACCCCGTGGGCTTTTGCTTTGCATTGGGCAAGACCCGCCCAACAACCGCTGCGGGAAGCCTTGGACCCTGGACCGCGCCCTTTCCAAGGGGCTCCTGCAGGAACCCGCGCGCAGAGGCAGAATTCCTCCAGCCACCGCTGCAGCTCCGCCCGACCGCGAGCACGACCCCGGCGAGCCACACGCCCGCCCGCGTCCGCACAGACCTCGGCGAGGCGTCTCCGCCTCTCCCCAGCCTAAGTCGGAGGTCGCGCCGGCCCCTGCCCAGTCCCACCCAAAGTCCCGGCCACGCCCCGCCTGCACGCTCCGGGGGCAAAGCGAAACCTTCTTCCCTCCCGGCCTCCCCAGGCGCGATCGTGCCCATTTACCGTCTTGTACCACCAGCTCGCGAAAGCCATGGCGACTGCCGGGGTGCTCCGAAGTCGTCCGGCCGGGGACCCTGCGACAACACGGCGCGCGGTGCGAAGGGCGCGGGGCTCGCAGGCAGCCAGCCCTGGACTGCCAGGCTCGGGGCCCGGCCGCGTCTAGCAGCTGCCGGAGGGGCGGGGCCCGGGGCGGGGTCAGAGCAGCCCCGCCCGCCCACTGGCCCCGCCCCCGGCTCGCTCCGACCCTATAGCCGCTGCTCACGGCTGCCGGGGGCGGGCCTGCGGGGGCGGGGACAGGGAGGGCCGCGCCCCTCCCTTCTGCTCCGCCCACAGGCTGGCCCCGCCCCGCGACCGGAAAGGGCTAGCTGAAGTTCTTACTCGGAAAGACCCCGCCCCCTCAGGGTCCCGCCCCCAGACCCCGCCCCACAAAGAGCCAGGGCTGCCTAAGTTCTTACTCCGGAAGTCCCCGCCCTCTTCTTGGTCCGGCGCCTCAGACTCCGCGATGGGGAAGGGCTCGCTGACTCCGGCAAGCCACGCCCCCTATTGGCCCCGCCCTCCAAGCCCCGTTTACTCCGGAAGGCCACGCCCCCTTGCCGGCCCCGCCCGCCAAGCCCCACTGCGCCACGGGGACTGGCTGGCTGAGGAAAAGTTTACTCCGGAGGGCCACGCCCCCTGCCGGCCCCGCCCTCCAAGCCTTTCCCCGCGATAAGGGTGGGCCGGCTGAGGAAGAGCTTACTACTGGAGACCCCGACCTTCCCTCGGGGTCCCGCCCCCAAGGCCCACCCTGCGATGGGGACTGGCTGGCTGAGGAAGAGCTTATGCCGGGAGGTCCCGCCCCTTCCTTGCGGCCCCGCCCCCAAGCCCCGCCCGCGATGAGGAAGGGCCGACTGAGGATGAGCTTTCTCCGGGAGGCCCCGCCCCTCCCCCGTGGCCCCGCCCTCAAGGCCCACCCTGCGATGGGGACTGGCTGGCTGAGCAAGAGCTTACGCCGGGAGGCCCCGCCTCTCCCTTGCGGCCCCGCCCCCAAACCCCGCCCCGCGATGAGGCAGGGCCGACTGAGGATGTTTTCTCCGGGAGGCCCCGCCCCCCCCGCCGTGACCCCGCCCTCAAGGCCCACCCTGCGATGGGGACTGGCTGGCTGAGGAAGAGTTTTCTCCGGGAGGCCCCGCCCCTCCGCCGTGGCCCCGCCCTCAAGGCCCACCCTGCGATGGGGACTGGCTGGCTGAGGAAGAGTTTACTCCGGGAGGCCCCGCCCCTTCCTTGCGGCCCCGCCCCCAAGCCCCGCCCGCGATGAGGCAGGGCCAGCAGAGGATGAGTTTTCTCCGGGGGGCCCCGCCCCTCCGCCGTGGCCCCGCCCTCAAGGCCCACCCTGCGATGGGGACTGGCTGGCTGAGCAAGAGCTTACGCCGGGAGGCCCCGCCTCTCCCTTGCGGCCCCGCCCCCAAACCCCGCCCCGCGATGAGGCAGGGCCGGCGGAGGATGAGCTTTCTCCGGGAGGCCCCGCCCCTCCGCCGTGACCCCGCCCTCAAGACCCACCCTGCGATGGGGACTGGCTGGCTGAGCAAGAGCTTACGCCGGGAGGCCCCGCCTCTCCCTTGCGGCCCCGCCCCCAAACCCCGCCCCGCGATGAGGCAGGGCCGGCGGAGGATGAGCTTTCTCCGGGAGGCCCCGCCCCTCCGCCGTGGCCCCGCCCTCAAGGCCCACCCTGCAATGGGGACTGGCTGGCTGAGGAAGTTTACTCCGGGAGGCCCCGCCCCTTCCTTGCGGCCCCGCCTCCAAGCCCCGCCCGCGATGAGGCAGGGCCGGCGGAGGATGAGCTTTCTCCGGGGGGCCCCGCCCCTCCGCCGTGGCCCCGCCCTCAAGGCCCACCCTGCGATGGGGACTGGCTGGCTGAGCAAGAGCTTACGCCGGGAGGCCCCGCCTCTCCTTGCGGCCCCGCCCCTCCCCGTGGCCCCGCCCCCTGACCGCGCCCCGCGTCGACAGGGCGGGGGAAATTCTAAGCGCGGCGGCCGCAGCCCGCGGCCCCGCCTTTACGTCGAACCCCGGGTCCCGCCGCCCACCCGAGCGCGTCTCCCCCTCTGCGGGGTCCCCAGGACTCTCGCCCGCTCTCCGCCTCCTTTCGCCCCCGGCCCGCCAGCCTTCCCGGCGCGGCCCGCGCAGCCCGCGGGACGCAGGCACCTGCCCGACCGCGGCGCCCACCGGCTGGGCCCGGAGCGCGACCCCAGCCCACTCACCTGCGGGTCGCGGCGGGCGGCGGCCGCTCGCGGGGGCCGCGGGGAGGCGGCGGGCGCGGAGCCCGGCTGAGACATGGCGCGACGGGCAGCGGAGGGCGGAGGCGGCCCCGGGAGGCAGCTTCTCCGGGAGGGGCCCCTCGCCCGCTGGGCCCTCCCCTTCCTACGGCCGCGGCCCCGGGCTCTGCCCTGCCCCCGGCCCCCCTGCGCACCCCACCCCGGGCCCCCCTGCGCACCCCACCCCGGGCCACCCGTGCACGCCCCACCCCGGGCCACCCGTGCACGCCCCACCCCGGGCCACCCGTGCACGCCCCGCCCGAGGTGTCGCCGCCCGGAGCCCCGGCTCGTCTCTGCACGCCCCACCCAGGGTCTCAGCAGAGCCCCGGGGCTCGGGACCCTTGTCTGCAGGGGCGGGGAGGGCGCGCCCCGGGACGGGAATTCTGCAGCCCGGCGTGGCTGGCGCGGGCGTCGCCCGTGAACACGTGGCCCAGCCTGATCTGCAAACAGCCGGGTCTCAGGCGTGCTGGACTCTGCTCGGCTGTGTCCTCAGCAGGCAGGCTGGGAGAGGCGCATTTGGAGGCGGGATGAGATCCCGAGCAGGGATGGGTGACCGGTCATGCTCCTTGCTGGGCAGCTGTTGTTGTCCAGCGTGCATTCCTCCAGTCTTTGGCCCTCCTAAAAACAGCACCCCAGGCTAGGGGTGGAAGTGGCTCGTAGCAGTCAGGACAAGGCAACCTGGCCCACCACGGTGATCAGACCCGACAGAGAATGAAACTGTGACTATGCCTGGCACTCTGCACTGGCCTGAGGACGCTGGCAGAACAGCTGCAGTGAGAAAGGCTGGATTCAAGGCCAAAATCAGCTATGCTCGGGGTGATTGGCAGCATGGAATGATCCCTGCTACCCTCTTATTTTCAGCTTCTCTTACTCACCCCCCTAAGCTACCTGACCAGGTTTTGGTCTCCACGTGAGCCCTAGGGGTGCTTTAAATGTGCTTCCTCAGCAGGCTGCTGTGTAAGGGGGTCTATGGGTGGGGGAGGGGCAGGGTGGGTAGGCCAGTGGTTAGGAACCACGTCTTGAATGGGTTGGATCTCACATTCTCACTCTGTCCCAGATGAACCAATTACTTTGTTCAACCTCTAACCTGGACCGGATGGTATCAGGAGATGGGTTCCCTGAGAGGTAATAGTCACAAAAGTAAGGGGAAGGAGGGCACAGCTCTCCTGAATGAGAGGAAACCGTGCATAGAAGGGGTAAGAAGCCCCTTGCCTGTCCTCTGTGTGAGGTCACAAGGGACAGAGCACTCCCAGGGAAGGAACTTCACCTATCTGTGCAAACCCCTGCTCACTCATTGCAGTCTCCAGAACTGTGAGGAATAAAGCCCCCTTGTTCATAGGTGCCGCCCAAGCAGCTGGGGCAGATGAAGCTTCTCAGAGCTCAGGGGCCTGAGCACCGTGGGAGTGGGTGTGTGTGGGGGGGGGCAGGGAGAAAGGGGTAGGCTGAGGAAGAGATGGAGGAGAATATGCAACATATGAATTCGTGATTGCTGTCCATGACTTGAGTCACACGTACTCACAGCTATGCCCTCAGGTTTTATTTCTCCTTTTTTAGTGTCCCTCCAGAGAGGAGAACATGGGGCTGGAGAGGTAATACAGCTGTTAGTCACATGCCTTCCATGTGCCTATCCAGGTCTGATCCCAGGCCACAGCCTATGGTCCCCAAAGCCTACCAGGAGTGATTCCTGAGCTCTGAGTAAGCTCTGAGCACTGCCCGGTGTGGCCTCCAAACCAAAACCCAACCAAGTAGTAAACACCTGCAAAATACCTTGTCCTGCTCTACAAAATGCCCTGCTGGCATGTGTATAAAACACAGAGGACTGAGATCCTATATCTTGAGGGACTTTACTAGAGAGCGATTTGGTGAGGGAAGGGAAGAATTGACAAAGGGAGAGGAAATGGGGGTGCTTCATCCTGGAAGGAGCCTTAGGTAACCATGCAGGCAATGCAAAAGAGAGGGGCTTTTCTGAGTCTCATTTATAAGGCTGAATTTACCAATTCTATCGGCGGAAAGAAAGAGAACTTGTCTTGAGGGAAAGGAGGTTACCCCCTGATATTAGAAACATGCAAAGTGGGCTGAGAAATGTGTGCCCTCTGCTGGTGGCACTCCAGGAACTGGGTGGGAACTTTGATTCCTGAAGGGGACTCAGAGCTCATCCCATCCCACTCATGGCCAACCCTCTCAAATAATCAAAGAAGAAACAAAGATTGGGGCTGGAGCGATAGCACAGCAGGTAGGGCATTTGCTTTGCATGCAGCCGACCCAGGTTTGGTTCCCAGCATCCCATATGGTCCCCTGAGCACCCTCAGCACCGCCAGGAGTAAGTCCTGAGTGAAGAGCCAGGAGTAATCCCTGTGAATCGCCAGGTGTGACCCAAAAAGCAAAAAAAAAAAAAAGAGAGAGAGAGAAGAAGAAACAAAGATTGAGAAAGTCTGCTGCCGATTTGCTATATAACCAAGAATCAGGTTTAAAAATATTATCCTTTTAATTAAATTACTCCCACGTCTTTTGGGAAGAGGGGGAACAAACCCAGTGAAGCTCGGGGGTTACTCCTGACTGCACTCAGGAATCACTCTTGGAGGGGCTCAGGTGACCCGATGGAATGCTGGGGATCAAACCCGGGTCCACTGGCACATGCAAAGGAAGCATCCTATATGCTTTGCTCTTTCTCCAGCACCCTTCCACTTCTTGCAAATGACTTTTGTACTCAAGAGGAATTACAGAGATCAATTTGTCTCTCAGAGCAGCTAAGCTGTCGACACTACTATATAAATGCATAGAAGAATCAGCATGTCTGATTAGAAATTGAGCTCCCATTTGACCCAGCA